GTTCTGTAGGAGAGATATTGAGGAGGGTAAAATTTTAATTTAATTATATATTATAATTATAGTGTATAAAACTTAAACTCGGGGTGTGAAATGTATAAATAGGAAAAGAGCAGAGAAAGCAAAGCATCTTATTCCATCCAACGCGCAGCTATCTGAGAAAAGGAAGCCCAAAACGATTGAATTAATAGGCGCTTCGTCACCATCAAAGGATGTGATGCAGTGGATAAGACTGTTCTTCCCTTAACCAGAGGTTTCGGATTCGAGCCATGCGTATGGAAAAATCCTTGGTAGGGAGCGCTTCCCTTGAATGGGGCCCTAAACGGCGCGAATTCGAATATAGTCGGGCTCCAATACGGGTATCGGACACCGCGTGGGAAACCAAAAAAGAAATAATAGGTGCTTCGTCATTGTCCCCTTGATGTTCCCATGCATGGGCCCCTCTATTATCAATAATAGTTTACTTTTGGCCCCGCCTCAATCATCAATTTGCATATTACTACTACAAGATCTTTAATTAGTACGTTAAGGTTATTTTTGCCATTGACTAATTCGCAAGTTTGTTAAAACCCTCCGTCTTGCATCACTTTGGTCCATGAGTTCGATAAAATTTTGTTGAAACCCTCAGTCCTTACACCATGTAGAATTGATGTAATTTTGTTGAATCCAATATTTTCAATTCTTAGCATAGTAATAACTTTTTAATAGATATTTAAGACCGTAAATTTCATTAAAAAATCATGAATTTGTCACTGAATTCTTATCAAATATTTCCTTTTTTTATTCCTTCCTCTTTTTCAGAAGTTATTAGCCTCACTCCACTTCAAGAAAACTTAAAAAGAAAATAAAAAGGATAGCTTTAGAATTATATGATAATATATCTCAACGCATTAATCTTTCATGAATGATAGCCATCCATTATTGAAAATAGAAAAAATGAACTTTCATCAGCATGACACAATAATAATTTGAAGGTGAATTAAAAAGTGGATATGTGAAACAAAAGAAAAAGAATTGAAGAAGCAAAGCAAACAACTAGACAAATGATGAGTCTCAAAAAAAGAGTACAAGAGAGAAACCAACCAAACCCATCAACATGTGACGGTTTGCCTAATTACCATAACAAAGAGGGCTGAAAGTCAATAGAATGAACCATTGACAAGATTATTTAAAATACTATTATATGATTATTTGTGAAAAAAGTCATGCATCATTTTCAACTTTTCCAAGAAAAGACAGCCCCATCTTCCCCTCATCCGTATCTGTGCCTAATTCTCCCCTTCTTCATACATAAGCTGCGCTACTATATGGCATCAGTAGCAAGTCCCAAAGGCCACAACTGTTGTGTCCTAAAATGTCAACAACCTTAGATAAGCAAGTGAGCCTGTATCTTACTGGCATTATTTGAATACCATGATCCCCATGCCCCCCTTCCCCCCACCGATGTCTTTCATTTGATTAGTATTTCATGGGTAAAATTGATTTATAATAAATGGTCGAATGATGCCATGACACATGGAATCAAAGACAGGTGAAGGGCGAGTCAAGTAACAGTTATTACCGGGAATAGTAATTGCAATTGACATCGGGTAAATCCCGAAGGAAGTGTAATCAGCGGGAGTAGATAAAGTATTTGTCATCGAATAGCATTCAATGAGAGAATATTCTTTCATATTAAATGGGCAACCGTTGCAGAGAATATTTGCATCCTGTCCTCCGAGACATTGCGTTCGGAGCCAGACTTGTCATCTTCTTTAATTTCAATTGCTAAGTCTTACTTTTAAATCTTATTTCATTATCCTTTTTGGGATAAAATCAGTCCGCTTGTCTATAAATCACATAACAAATTTAACTATACCATTTTACGGATAAATAGTTTGGCGCCCACAGTGGGCCTTAGACAGTTGCGTAATTGTTTTGATCCTTACGTTTATTACTACCTTGTATGATTTTCTTCCTTAGCAAGAAATCAAAAATGGCAGCTGATGATGTCAACATCACACACAACATCGAGGGACACGAAGATTTGCCTCAACATGAAGACTCAATCAGCGACACCCCTAACGAAGGTGACGAAGCGACCCCAGTTCGTAAAGGGCGGTACCACCGGCATGTACGAGAGCCAACTCCCAATGACGCGGAGGAGGAACACATTGTGGAAATATTGAAAATCCTAAGAGAGCAACAGAAAGCCATCAAGGGCCACCTCTCAAGGAAGAATCAGTTGTGACGGATTGACGCTAGCGTTCTCAGGCGCTTCTGATAAGTGAGGATATTGACTACTTATTAATGCCTTTTAGCTTTCGTTTTAGTCCAAAATCGCTTAATTGATTTCTCGAAAATTGATGAAATGAGCTTAATTATAGGAATATTGGAAGATGATCTCCCAAGATGAAACCCAACTCAAGAAGGAGTAATCTGAACTCAAGGACAAAAACAAGCACAAAAGCTCAGAAGTACGGACCGCAGAATATCATATGCGGCCACAGATTGTGATGAAATTCCTATCATAGAAATGTGCAAAGTGCGGTCCGCACATGATATGTGCGGCCACAGAAACTGAGTCAGAGCAAAAGTTCAGAGAACCTGCATCTTAAGTCCAACAAAAGTGCGGACCGCACAATTATTGTGCTGCCGTAGAAGAAGCTACGCGGCCGCAGTCACATTTTTATGGACCGCAGAAGAGCAAGATGCGGCCGCAGTCACATTTTTATGGACCGCAGAAGAGCAAGATGCGGCCGCAGACATTATTATGTGGATCGCAGAAAGAATGCAGTGCGGCCGCAGTCCAGAATTATGCAGGCGCAGATTTTCTATCCTGTCAAGACTGAAGAAAAGTACGGACCGCACATGGAATTGTGCGGCCGTAGAGCCTCCGAAAGGGCATTTTTGTCTGAAATTGCTAGCCCTGTATAAATAGAAGAGTTTCACTTTTTTAGGTCAAGTTTTGACATCAGCTGCTACAGTAGATGGTTTCTTTTACTCTTTTAGTAGTTTTTGCTATTTTGAGCTTTTTGAACATTGATTTCATCATTTTAATTATCAATATGGGTTTAATTATCATTTCTTCTTCTACTTCTTCTATTTTAAGCATGAGTAGCTAAATTTTCAATAGGGTTGTGACCCAACCCTAGAGTGTAATCTTAATGGGTGTTTGATTTATTGCTTGTTTATGGTTGTGTGTTTATTATTTAGCCTTGTTCTTGCTTTTAATTATAGAATTAATGGTTGCAAATATTAGTTCATACCTATTTGACTTGGTCTCTACTTGAGAAAGAGAGACTTAGTCTAGAAAAAACTTGGATAACAAGGAATTGGGTCAATCGAGAGATTGATAAGCCCAATTAAAGGGTTAAACCTAGAGATAGTAAAACCCGACTTGAGCTTTTTATCAACCGTTTTGTTCAATACCCATTTGGACTTGAGAAAGCCAAATTAGGCAAAATCACTCTCTGACCGAGAGGTATTGAGTGAGTACTTGAGTGTTGATAGCTATAATACACCCCGACGAATAAAACAAGCTTTAAAGTTTACAACCCATTAGTCAAACACCTAGGTGAAGGTCATAGCCCTAGGCCTTTTATATCATTTGAAAAACAACAAAAATAATTTCCTAGTTTCATCTCTTAGCTTTGCAATCTTAGTTTAAATTAGACCTAGAAACAACCAATTTGTGGAAGTGTAAATTGAGACAATTCAAGCTCATACACGATAATATATACCACTAAGTCCCATTCATAGCTCGCTGTGGAAAATCGACCCCGACTTCTGGTTGGGTATTACTATTGCATCGACCGTTTCATAACCTTAAATAGAGGTGTGACTTGGACGAGATAAGCTTCCAATAATGCGAGTGAAAGAGGCCCAGTTCCTCCCAACGTTCCTGCAAATCAAACGACTCAGAGAGTCGATAACAACACCCCAAGAGGCGATGTTGGTTTCGACAAAACATGAGGGCCTAGTAGCAGACCAGGAATAACGAGAACGATCCTTCAAAAATGAGCTTATGAGGTTTATAAGGGAAATGAACGAACGGATGGATAAAAATGCAAAGAAGTTTCACGCGCGAATGGATCGGATTCTGGGTGCACCACCAATATTAAAAGGCCCAGATTCAAAAAAATACACGTAGTTACCATTTAAACCGACCGCAACACCAGAGTTGATTTTGAAAAGGTTCAAGATGTCCGACATACCAAAATATGATGGGACTTTGGATCTGCAGGAGCATATCACAACTTATACTATGACTGTGAAAGGGAATGATTTGGCTCAATATGAGATCAAATCGGTCCTATTGAAGACGTTTGGTGAAACCCTCAAAAAGGGGGCTTTGATATGGTATTCACTCTTGCCCGAGCATTTAATTGATTTTTTTGAAATGCTTACAGATTTATTCATTAAGGCCCATGACGGGGCCAAGAAGGTCCAAACCAGGAAGGCGGATAAATTTTAGAATCGCGCAAGGTGAGTCCGAATTGCTGCAGGAATTTGTGATCAGATTCCAGAAAGAGAGGATGTTGCTATCGGCTGTACCAGACGAATAGGCAGCAGAGGCGTTCATAAAGGGTTTGAATTCGAGGAGCTCCGATGCCCGAAAGCTAAAGGAAAGCCTGCTCGAATTCCAAGCAACCACATGGGCGGATGTCCATAACTGTTATGAGTTGAAAGTAAGGATAGAAGATGATCAGCTCGCATTCCCGATGTCCACCAAGGGACGGGACAGAGACAAGAACCAGGACAAGTTCAAAAGCGATTCGATTCGGATCGGAAATCTTCCAAAAGTCATTTCCTACCATACGAGAGAGTTGCGGGACGCGACATCAAAGGGTTCCGATCCTCGAATAGATTCGCTCCTGATAGAAGAACCGACCGTGGCCGGAGCAACAGGTCGTTACAAGAAAAAGAGGTATCAGGAGCCCAGGATTCCACATATCCCAGGTTATCAGATTAGTGCTTCAACATTAGCATAATGAAGTTGGTATCGGCGATGAGGAATATCAATGAAGCACAATTCCCGAAGCCCTATCAGATCTGATCCCAGCCAGATGGATCCCAACTTATGGTTCGAATATCATGGGACTCACGGCCATAAAACTGGGGACTGCCGACAATTACGAGAAGTGGTGGCGACATTATTAAAGAATGGCCATCTCGGGGAGTTTCTAAGCGGCCGAGCCAAGAACAATTATGGTCGTAACCGGGACAATACAGTGCCTTCAAAGGCAACAGAAGACTCCCCCCGGTTTAGTATCAACAAGATTTTTAGAGGAAATGAAATTAACAGTGTAACATTCTCGGCGGCCAAGAAGACAAAGGTATTAGTGACTTACAGCAAGAGACTCCGGGAAGTCGCCGAAGATGATATTGCCTTCACGGAGGAAGACGCTGACGAATTTCTTCTTCCACATAACAACGCTCTGGTAATCTCTCTTAATGTCTTAGATTTTAAAATTAAGCGTGTTTTGGTTGAACCAGGAAGCTCGGCCAAATATCATTGAATGGAGAGTGCTAGAATAAACAAAATTGACCGAAAGCACAATTTTGACAACAAAGCTCTTAACTGGGTTCAACCTGACAAATGTGACAACCCGGGGAGAGATCTTGCTGCCCACGAACACCGAAGAGGTAACCAAGACCACCTTATTCGAAGTGGTAGACGCCGACATGGGTTATAACATAATCCACAAAAAGTCGTGGATACACAAGATGAAGGCTATGCCCTCAATATATCATCAATTGCTGAAATTCCCAATGCCAGGAGGAATCAACCAGATAAGAGGAGATCAACCGGCAACAAGAGAGATGAACGCAGTGTCGATTTCCAGCATCAAGGGGAAGGAGCCCAAAAAATAGCAACTATAGGAACTAATGCTTTCTCCCTTTCCAAATGAAGATGATAAAGACGATGAGTCATTGAAATGCCACCAGGTGTCGAGATACTTTCAAGTACCGGAGGTAACGGATGCAACAAAGTCCACCGCAGAAGAACTAGAGCAAGTGTCTTTATTCAAAGAATTCTTGGAAAGGAAGTTTCACTTGGGAATAGAACTCAATCCCGAACTCAAGTTAGAATTTATAAATTTTTTTAAAGCTAACGCAGATTGCTTTGCGTGGTCGCACTCGAATGTGACATGTATTCTGTTGGAAGTGGTCATGCACAAGCTAACTCTGGATCCAAACTACCTGCCGGTACGGCAGAAGAAATGTCTGATTGCCGAGGTTAGGAATAGGTTTGTTGAAGAAGAGGTAACCCCGGTTACTCAATATTGGTCCAATATAGGAGGTAAAGTGTCATGCCCCAACCTCGAGGAGCGCAACCGGCGCTCAACCGAGTAAACCCAGTCGAGCAAGCCTACTTACATCAACCTCTCATCTTTACTCATGCATTATTTACCATAACATAATTAGATCTTGACTTTTAAATTGAATACATTTGGCTCAATGGCCTAAAATTCTTTCTCATGATGGGTACACAGCTTTATAAATAGTTGTATATACTGTGAACATAAATACATGACAAAACTCAATCTTTAATTGCATGACCCACAATGTACATGGAGCTTCTATGACCATAGATACCTAAATACATAAAACGAACTAGACAACACCCACTAGAACTGTCGCGGGCTCACAATCCCCCGGATAAAGGGACGTGAGTACATGTGGAATAGTAGATAAAACGACATATGAAAATACGGTAACTCAAATAAGAGGAAAATAAAGTATATCAAGAACTACGAAACATCCCATAGAATCACAATTCAAGTCTTATTATACTTACATCATTCTGAACTTCTTTTGGGAGCAATTGATCCATATCAATGATGCGTGGGATACAAAATATAATGTAAATGCAACAACATGTAAAAACAAGGGCAATGAAAGTGGCACCTATGTTTCGTGTTTGCTATGCGTCTTACTAGACCGTCCATAGCCCCCTCTTACTATGCACATTATACACCTATGCGTTTCATAGACCGTCCATAGTGTTCATCCATATTATACACCTATGTGTTTCATAGACCGTCTATAGGATTACATATAGTATACACCTATGCGTTTCAAAATCCATCCATAGGATTCCTTCAAATTATAACCCTATGCATTTCATAGACCGTAATAGTATTTATTCATACCGTACACCTATGTATTTCATAGACCGTCCATAGGATCACACATACAATACACCTATGCGTTTCATAGGCCGTCCATAGGATCACATATACAATACACCTATGCGTTTCATAAACCGTCCATATGATTCATTCATATTATACACCTATGCGTTTCATAAACCGTCCATATGATTCATTCATATTATACACCTATGCGTTTCATAAACCGTCCATATGATTCATTCATATTATACACCTATGCATTTCATAGACCGTCCATAGGATTCCATATACAATACACCTATGTGTTTCATAGACCGTCCATAGAATCACATATACAATACACCTATGCGTTTCATAGACAGTCCGTAGGATTCCATATATAATAAACCTATGCGTTTCATAGACCGTCCATGGGATTACATACACAATACACCTATGCGTTTCATAGACCGTTCATAGGATTCATTCATATTATATTATACACCTATGCGTTTCATAACCCATCCATAGGATTCAGATATTATATTATACACCTATGCGTTTCATAGACCGTCCACAGGGTTCATAACACATAATTCTGCACATAACCATATATAAACTCAAAGCGACATGATTAACATTACATTTGAGGTCGTAATTTCCCGTATAGCTAGAATACTTCATGTTCATGCTCATCATGGAGAAACAAGACTTATTACATTAGCACATGCATGGTGAATCAATAAGTCGATTTCAATGGCATATGAGCCCAATTTCTTTACTTAAGGTTCATCATCATTTAGCATAGGACATCTCTCTTTCATCTCGTTATTCACTCACTTGTCATCTTGAGGTCATTTGCTAAGTTCATGATTCTTGGGGACTTAACATCGAAGTCATTTTGCATTTATTATTTTAGAAGCATACATACTATAATTGAAACCATTGGAACATACAATGCCTTCATATTCTCATTTTGGCAAGCGGTTACATTTCATGTTCATGCCATCTCTTCCTTTGTCTTACCATGGGCGACCATATAATATTAAAAGCATTTAAAAGATTTAGGAACGCCATAGCCTCTACTCATGAGGACGTAGGAGCTTATAACACATTGGAAATACTTACAAAGCATATCATTAGTTAAAACATCCACATTTGAGAATGACTTGAGTGCATAAGCTTTTAGCAAATCTATTTTCGAAGTCATTTTGGAATAGTTGAATCAAGGCTCATTTCATAACCTTTCTCACATCAATTCATTTGATTGGCACCATTGGCCACAAGTATAAGTTTCATTATTGGCACGGTGGCCACACTTTACATCTCCAATCCACTTCTTTCACTTTCCATCATCTTTATAGGTTATCAACAAGGCATTTCAAATCAGTACTTTAGGTACACATATGAGCAATTAAGAGTTTTAAGCACATCGAGTTTTTCTCACCAATTTGGCATCATACTTTCATTTAAAACACGACTCAAAGCCATAACATTTTAATACACATATCATTCTTGAACACATTCCCGAAAGATAACATAATGCGATAGGAACATTCGGAACACGTTTTGAATACATAACTTTCGACATTTTGCTTACTCGGGGCAATCGAATTTGTTAGGAATAACTCGGAATATGGGAATGAGGAACTTGAGCCAACCATACTTGAAAGTTACGGGAATGTCATGAAATTCAATTCTAAGAGAGTAGTTTAGCCAACTACCTTTCTTGAGCTTTCCTTACATTACTACAATGTTCCGGAAATCCTAGCAACTTCAATCTATTTAGAAACATAAAAAAAGTGAACCATAATTGGGAAGATATTCGTTGGCTCACCTCATTTAAGCATTTCATCAAATACTAGGTGTGCAAATTTGACTACAAGGTTCTTCTACAAGATTTCCTTTACCTCACAACCAATTCAATCCAAGAGTTTACTCCTTTTAGTTAAATAACCCCCTACCACCCTTATGGGTACATTCATGCACAAAGAGCAACTCCCAAACCTAAGAATCATACTTCTCATGACCTAATTTTAGTCCAAATCCCGAAATTTAGGGCCAGGGAGTAGAACCTTACCTATTAGATGAAGATCTTGTGGATTTCTACCATGAATCTCCAAAGCTTGAGCATGGAGATGTTGGTGCCCTCCATTCTCTCTCTAGAATAACTCTCTCTTCTCTCTAAAACATCAGATTTTACCTTGTAAAATGACACCCTAAGGCCTTATATCAAAGTAGGTTCGGATAAGAAAATTTCCAAAAATAACCCCCGAAGTCAATTATATAGTGCAGTTATGTGGTAGCAGAATCGATATGTGGCCAGCAGAATGGTTATGTGGGCAGTAGAATCGATTATGTGGCCAGCAGAATGGTTATGCGGGCAACATAATTTTAAAGCGGCCAGCAGAATGATTATGTGGCTAGCAAAATAATTCTGCGGCAAACAGAATTGTTTTTCAAAATTTGTCCATTTTCTGTTCCACTCAGCGACGGATTTGCGATCGGCGGAGTGATTCTACGGTCTCATAATGGACCGTAGAAATGCCATTTTCTGCAATAATTTAAATCTAACTCCCCAATGCATTGTACAAACCAAAAAGTTCATACCGTGACTCGTTTTCTACAATTTCAAACACATTAGTCTACCTCGGAACCACGAAACCCCAGGTTCTAGGTAATATTTTATGGGACCTTACATAAAGTATCCATAATGGTTAGCCAATATAAGTGTAGTACATAAAAAGAGTAACAAATTTAGAATGTTCATAGACTATAAAGATCTAAATAAGGCATGCCCTAAAAACACGTTCCTATTTCCAAATATTGATCGAATGATTGACGCTACGTCGGGGCATGAGTTGATGAGTTTCCATGATGCTTACTCCGGGTACAATCAAATCAAGATGAACCCGGAGGATCAGGAAAAAAGATTTATTCATAATGAACTTTAGCACATATTGTTATAATGTGATGTCAGTTGGGCTTAAGAACATCGGAGCCACTTATCAGAAGTTCGTGAACAAAATGTTCGAAAATCAAATAGGCAAAACAATGAAAATATACATTGACGACATGTTAGTCAAATCTTTGAATGCAGGAAATCACTTGAAACACCTCCAAGAAACCTTCGATATCTTGAGGAAGCATAACATGAAACTCAACCCAAAAAAATATGCATCCGGGGTTGGTTCTGGAAAATTCTTGGGGTCCTGGTCTCGCAAAGAGAGATCGAGGTAAATCCTGACAAATCAAAGCTATCAAGGACATTCTGGATCAACTGACAAATGTAAAGGAGCTACAAAGGTTAACTGGAAGGTTAGCAACCTTAAGTAGGTTCATCTCGAGATCCTCAGAAAAATGCCATCACTTCTTCTCGCTTCTCATAAAGAAGAACAATT